CCGCGCCGCCTCTGGGTCCCCGGCGTCGCCGGCCCGGAACGTGCGGAGCGGAGGTGTGCTGTCCGTTACCCTGGGTTTGGCCAGCTGTCCGAGCGGTGCGGTCCGGCCGAGGCCCGGTGCGGCGTGGCAGGCGCTGGGGGGGATCGGCGGTCACTTGCCGTGCTCGGGCCGGGGTCGCGCCGCCCTCCCTCCGTTCCGGAGTTTGCTCCCCGGAGGAGCCGCGTGCCTAAGGCCAGAGTTGGAGGAGGGCAGGTTAGGGAAGCCCCCAGCGTGTTATCTGAGGTTTCTGCCTGTTGCAGCGGTATTTGCAGACTCCTGGACACAAAATGTAATATTTAAAAGCGCCAGCTGCCAAGTAAGTGGCCGAAAGACTTTTTGTCCAGAGCGTCCTCCAAAGGCCAAGATAAGATTTGATGTAACAGCTTTCAGGGGAACCAAGAACATTCTGTGTTGAGCGCGTCCTTCGTTCCGGAACTTGCGATCATTTGAGAGAAAGGACATTCCCCTGCAGGGACTTGTCTTGCGGTGCGGGCCGGCCCAGGCGCCGGGAGGACTTGTGCCTCCCCACTTTGAGACCCTTTTGTTTGCCAGCGGTCCCCTCCCCCTCCTGCATTGCATCCAGCACGAGGGCTTGCAGTCGATAGTCAGATTGGTGACCCATGACAGTCTTACATAACCAGAAGTAAATAGGTGTCACCCTTTTTGTATAGCTCCTGAATAAGCAAACTGTAAGTTGCTTAGTTTTAATCAGAAGCGTACCAGACATATTGAATTACATGATTCTGGAGCTCCAGGCCCCAGGCTGGAAAATACCCTTTTTATATCCAGGATCCACGCATACATTCATAGAGACTGAGAGAGAAGCCTATGAAATTAATCAGTGATTGGACAGGGCTGTATAAAAAAATCTGGGAGAGATTCTTACATGTGAGGCCTACTCAGCCTTTTTAAATCCGTTTCCCTGCTACTGATTAAGGGAAAATTAAGCTTTGCAAAAGGAGTAGGCTAGAAGAAGGGTGATGAATGGAACTCTCAGACCTTGCAAGGAGAAGACTTTTGAAATACAGATTATGGCTAGTCTCATATTCAGAATTTAGATGTTGGGCCGGGGATATAGCTTAGTGGCACAGCGCCTTCCTAGCAAGCACAAGGTCCCGAGTTCGAGTCCTACTACCAAAAAAGAAAAAAAATAGGATCTAGATATTTATGTTTCTCCAAAACGCCGTAGGATTTTCGCAGTGTGTTCCTACCCACTTCTGTCTACAGCCCTCACCTACAGGCAACAGAATCTTACCAGGGCTCTTTTGTGTGAATTAGAGATCAGTATATAACCATCAAGCATATTTACTGTAGCAATAATTATAAGCGCTGTCACTGTGTAACAATTATAAGCGCTACTTTTTGGTTCTTTGTGTTTGTTTATTGACCTCTGGATCTGTCTAACCTTGATTAAAAGTGGCACCTTCTCAGGGAGCCCCCAGTAAGAGGATGAGAAAAATATCTGTTTCTATGTACAAGTTTACCTAGGTATTCCCTGCCCTGTCTGGAAACGACTTTCAACCCTTTGTGTCACTGTAACGTGAATTTTTGGCTAGTCTTTCCAAACTCCATTCTTTATACAGTTTCAGGGTAGACTGTCAATTGCTGGTCAAGGTTATCTTCTGGAGGAAAAAAATTAAAATGCTATCATTTAAAACATTAATCTGCCCCACTTCTGATGATTGAGTTCTTCAACTAAAAGGATTTGGGTTCTGCATTTGGTGAGTTTATTGAGGCTTGTCACTGTTTATATGTGTGGTAACAGCTTCTTCACAGTAAATTTTCAGTAAGCAGAACTCCTTGCCCAGAGGTTTTCTGGGCTCAGTAAAAGGAAACGATTCTCTTTAAAAGGAGGAAACCTTTTACTTTTGAAAATGAGGAAGGAAATGGAATAATGTAATTGAACTACACTGAAGAGCAGTGGTCTGTTGATAGTGGGGAAGGTAAGCCAAGGTAAGAAAACATTCTTGGAATTTATTCTGTTTCTAGCTCTAGCCCTGTGGTAAACTGGAGTTTGGCTTCTGAGGGAGGACAGGATGTGAAATGGCTTAAAACCAGTTCCCCAGCATGATTCAGCAAAACAGCCTGTACTGATTCACAAAGGAAAGTCTTTCTAATTCATGCCCCTTTGTCAATAGAGAAATGGCCAGTTCCACCCATGCCCTCCCATCCTGGGGACTTTAAGTCTCTTGTGACCCTTAAATAGGTCATTTCTGAAAAATCTAAGCTCAAAATTTTACTCATAGCGAGATTACGTATTTCCAAATATGTATGTCCCTCTTACTGCCCTTTATTAAATACAGACATACCGCATACCTTTATTTGTTTCTTTAGGGCCGGGGATATAGCTCAGCAGCACAAGGGCCTGCCTGGCAAGCTCAAGGTCCTGAGCTCAATTCCCAGTAGGAAAACAGCACACCCCCCCCCAAAAAAAAAACAATAATAATATTTGTTTCTTCACCACAGGACCTTTCATCTTTTTTGTAAGGTCTTTTCCTTTACTAAAGCTTGGGAGTTGAATGGTAGATGTATATGAGAAGATCTGGGTGGGAAGGTGGTGCCCTTGTGAGCTTTGTTCTTTCTGCTAAGTGAAACTTGCCAAATTTTAGATCAGCTTAGCATCTAGATCACAATTGGGGATCTGGTCTAAAATCTTGACACTTGATGGCTTAAGCCAATGGGAGGACAGAGAACTGAATGTCAAACTTTCTTCTACAATAGTTCCTGTTAACAACGAAAAGAAAGTGGTACTCCAAAGTTTCTTGCAATGTTTCTTGGTGACTGAGCTTGAAGTGCGCCTAAAATCTATACATGTTTAACCGTAGACAATGATAATGTAGGTATTTGTGTTTACCTGAGAATTACAGAAGCTGTAGAAATCTGTATGGTATGCCTTCAGCTTTTCCTACCTGCTTGGTCTAAAACAGAAGAAAAAAACTGCAAGTGAAGAGATAGATAAAACTGGAAAAGTATTGTTGTGTTGTCCCATTTGTCCCAGGTTTGTGACCAAATACAAAGATTTTATATCCCCTCATTTCAAAGAAGCCAAGTGCCAGCCTTAATGCTACTCATTTAGGCTAGAAACGTGTTTGCTTTAGGTTACATAACCTGTTTATTCTTAAAATGAGGCATCTGCTTGGATTCAGGGCATTTTGGGAGCTGAACATTAAGAGCTGTGCTAGAAAAAAATGGGTTCTAAAAGAGGAAGAAATAAAAAATTATTTCAGGCTACTTGGCTTGAGTAGCAGATTTTATTAGCAGAAAAGGAGTCAGTGTGGTTCCGTAGCTATTAAAGAAGGCAGCACCCTAAAATGAGTCTTTTTAAATACTTATTTTGAATTTTGCGTCTTTGCTTAACTGAGCTGTCAAAATAGGTGTTTCTGGAGAGAAGATTAAAAGAATTGAGGGGCTGGGGATTTAGCTGAGCGGCAAAGCGCCTGCCTGGCAAGCACAAGGTTGTGAGTTCAGTTCCTGGTACCAGAGAAAAACCAAAAAAAAGTAAAAGAATTGGACTTCTCTACTGAAGAGTTTAAAAGTTTACAAGCATTTATCTAAAAACAAAAGCCTGTTTTAGATGCAGATGTGGCTTTTGGTTCTGTATAATGTAACTGTGCATTCAGTTGTGACCTTCTTTTCCTTGTTGCAGATGGGGCATCCTCTTCTCCCACCCGCGGGACTTCACCCCCGTGTGCACCACAGAGCTTGGCAGAGCAGCGAAGCTGGCACCGGAGTTTGCCAAGAGGAATGTCAAGTTGATTGCCCTTTCCATAGACAGTGTGGAAGACCATTTTGCCTGGAGCAAGGTAGACTTCTGTGATATGTGAAATACGTTTTTGTTTCTTCTTTCCTCTTTCCTCCCTTACAACTCCTAATATCCTTGAAATCTTCAGAGTAAGCAGTGTCATCTTCTATGCTAATGAGCGGACCAGCAGCTGGCATGCCTTGGGTAGCCTCAGAGGCTTTCAGTCTGGTCTTCCAACAGAATGAAGCAAGAGTGAAAGGTTGGAACTTTCAGCAGCAAACCCAGGCTCTGGGGAGAAAAAGAGGAGCCTAAGATTGAGCCGATCCCCAAAGGACCGATGAGTTAACCATTCATCCCTTTGTAATGAAGCTTGCGTCAGAACCCAGAAACTTCAGGTGCTTCTGTATGGCTAAACACATGGACACCACCGGAGGGTGGTATGCCTGGAAAGGGGTGGAAGCTCCAAACCTCACCCTGGGCATCTTTTCATCTATTAAACAGAAGTCTTTCCTTGAGTTCTGTGAGCTACCCTAGCAAATAAGCAACACCAAGGAGTGGGTCATAGGAACTCCAGTTTACAGCCCATCCGTCAGATGCACAAATAAAGCAACCGGAGCTTGCAGTTGGCATTGGAAGTAGGGAGACAGTCTTGTGGGGCTGAGTCCTCCTCAGCCTGTGGTATCTATCTGACACTCTGTCTAGCTAGAGAGGGTCCACACTGAGTTGAATTAAGAGGGCTGGTGTCCAGTGAAGAATTGGTTGGTTGATTGATTGGTAGTTGGGGGGAAAAACCCAGCCACTTCTTGGTGACCAAAGGCCTTGGAAGTTATGTGTTGTTGGGTTGGGGTTCTTTTTTTCCTCTATGTCATCAGAAGTATTGAATGGTATGTGCTTTGAGTCTGATCTATATAGGAATTATAGAATAGCCTGATTATGTTAGATAAAGGATAGGGAACCTCAGGTTCACAATTCACTAGTTACTTGAAAATCTGGCTGGGACCTCATAGTAACCTCTGAATTGCTAAGTCTAGTGATCAGATGTCAACCCCTATTTTTCTTAACCTGCCTGCAGCGTTCAGCCCCAGTCATCACTCTGTACCCTGAAATGTGTCCCACCTCCGGCTTCCTGGGTGCCACATCCTCGCTGTTGATGTTCACGCTTAGACTGGTTTTTGGTCATCATCTCTCAGTTCCTAATTTATGCTGAAATTGCCATGAACTAGTTCTTGGACCACTTTTCCATCTCTGTTCTTTCTCTTGGTAAGCTCATCCCCTCATATATCTTTAAATAATACTGTGTGCTCTGATTCTCAGATTTCCATCTCTGGGCCAGATAGTACTGGTCTCCAGCAGGGAAAAACCACTGTGTGCACAGCACCTGCCCTGCATGGCCAATCTTCTCAAACTTAGTCGGTCTCAGTCTGGGCCCAACTCTTCATCTTACTCATGTCTGCTCATGGCAACTGGGTTTCTTTTGTAGTTGCTCAGAGCAGAAGTCCAGAAGCCATTCATTCTTAACTCCTTTTTCTCACATCACGTCTGATTCATCCACAAACTGCTAAACTCTGCCTGCAGAGTATATCCAGGCTTGTTTTGAAAACCTGCTCCCCAGGTATATCTTTGCGCTTGATCTTAACCTCTAGTTATTGAGGAAACTTCAGGGTGCCTCTACCGTGAAACCATGTCAGTTACTATTTTCTTGTGATAACTTGGTAGGCAGCCCAGTGACTAATAAAGGAAAGTTTGAATGACAAACTTGGGCTGGGGATACAGCTCCGCAACACAAATGCCTGCCTGGCAAGCACAAGCTCCTGAGTTCAATTCCCCGGTACCAAACAAAAAAGATGAATCAAATGACAAAATTGATGAATATGTTAAAAACTCCTAGCCATTCAGAGTTCATTAATGACACGTTTATCTCGTCTTTGTTGAGAAATGTAAAAAGGTGTCGTGTCTCCTATGCCATTAACCCCCCTTCTTTTACTTTCAAGGTTCCACATGAATAATAAATAGACCTTTCCTCAAATCCAGTTTTAAATCTTTCTCGTTACTTCCTCAAACTACCACACTTACGTTGCTCACTCCTGCTCACTCCTGTCTAATAGTTTATGCATGATCCTACCTAATGTTTCATTGGTGGTGTTCTCCACAGAGTGCCTTCCATTTCCCAGGGGGAGATCCCAACTCCGCAGTCCTATATATGGAGATGTTAGTGTATCGCTGCACTTGTAGCATCACTTAGTTGTAGTCTCGTATCTGCTATACTACTTCATGTAGGAATTACTTAGCCAAATTAGAAGTTCCTTTGCTGTCAGAGCCATGTCTGCCTACATACCTGTATTCCACATATGCTTAATATAACAGTTATGTCAGTGCTTGATCAAATAATGAAACTAGACTTGGTGGGCATGGTGGCACATGCCTATAATCCCGGCACTTGGGAGGCTGAGGCAGGAGGATTGCAAAAGAATAGTTGAATGACAGAATCAAGTTTTATTAGGGGAGGAGGGAAGTATATCATTTCCTTTTAGTTCAGACTTGAAATGCTTTTCACCCATTTACTTTTGATTTGTCCTTTAATGAATACATTCAAGTCTCCATTCTTGTGTTTGCTTTAAGTTTTCTCTCTCTCTGTCTCTGTGTGTGTGTGTGTCTCTCTCTCTCACACACACACACACACACACACCTCTCGTTTCTCAGTATCAGTCTTTAGTCTAGCATCTAACTCAGGGTGCTTTTCAAGCATGGGCCAAATCTACAGAATTTTCTTTATGTGACGCATTATTTCTAGATGTCTGGACATAGTAAATGTATTGTTTCTGATGTTTTTAATAGGATTTGAGTATCCAGAGTTATCTGGTATTGGAATCATAGTAACTTTGTATTAATCAACTTTTAAAGAGCTTACTATGCTTTCTCAAAGCAGTAAATGCATGTTGAATTTAAGAAAATTGAGTGCAAAGGGTTTTGGTCTGTGAGTACTGTACTCTGCTGTTACTTCTACCACTAAATAATTGGGAGAAGTGTTTTGATTTTGGTTGGTTGGTTGGTTTTGGGTTTTTTGAGACAGGGTCTCGCTATGTATTTCAGCCTGTAGCCCAGGCTGGCCTTGAATTCATGGCAATCCTCCTGCCTCAGCCTCCCAAGTGTTGGGTTTACAGGCATGTGCCACACACCCGGCTTCATTCATTTGCTCAGAGAAATTTCTGTGATGATGAGTTTCCTCCCTGTCTTTGGAGTGATGGCTGTTATCTGATGAAATCGAGAGAATGTCAGGTTTAGAATTCTTTCTCCTTTTTCTTGCCTTTCAGGATATCAATGCTTACAATGGTGATGAGCCCACAGAAAAGTTACCTTTTCCCATTATTGATGATAAGAATCGGGACCTTGCCATCCTCTTGGGCATGCTGGACCCAGCAGAAAAGGATGAGAAGGGCATGCCCGTGACAGCGCGTGTGGTGAGTCTCAGTCCGCTTCACGGTTAGCAGGGCCGATCAGGCTTTACGTAATTACTCGGCCTGACTAGAGAAAATCGGGGAATATCTACGTTATTAAATAACTGTACTGCTGACAGTACAGTTAACTGTACTGATTATCCGTAATGCTAATGCAAAGGGACAGGAATAGTCAGCTAAGTTTTTAAACTAGTTAATTCATTGCTGTCTGAAACCTACAGAACAATGTTGTTTATCCTAAGATGCTGTATAGAATTAATAAACCTTTTCTATAGCTCCTCTGAGAGATCTGTCTTTAAAGCGGTGAGCCATATCCTGCTTCAGATGTCAACTCACTTTTTTCATTCTTATTTCTTTTGTCTTCTGTCCAGTAAAGAATAAACTCAGTCCCCCATCTGCATAAATGTACAGCTATTTGAGGCCCAGCATCTTAACTCCAGTTACTATTATTTTTATGATAATCATCCCTAGTTGACATAGTACCTTTGTGGAGCCTTTCCTAGGTTAAACTTACATATCCTTTTTTCTTACTGGGGCAGCCAGGGCCAAATATAATTTCTAAGTTTTGAAAGTAACAAGAAAGAAAATTATACTCCAGCCACCCCAGTGAGCAGTTTGATACATCCTTGTCAATGATTTGTTTCTGGTTTTATTTTTATACCCCTGCATGTTTTTAATGACTGCAGAACTTTCTGAGTAGCTTTAGTTTCAAAAGCACTGGAAGGAACTCTCCTATTTATGCCTCTCTATGCTTTGCAGGTATTTGTTTTTGGTCCTGACAAGAAACTGAAGCTATCCATCCTCTATCCAGCTACCACTGGCAGAAACTTTGATGAGATTCTCAGAGTGGTTATCTCTCTCCAGCTGACAGCGGAAAAGAGGGTCGCCACCCCTGTTGACTGGAAGGTAAAGATAAAAGGGCAGATACTCAGCTTGTCTAGAAGGCCTAAAGGACCCCTGTCTAAGTGGTTCCCTCTTGGAACTAAGTTTGTGGCGTCCAAGTGGGGAGGATTTTTCATCATGGCTAAGTTTAAGGTTTCCTAAGAGATCTGTCTAAGTTGAACAGTCCTAATCCTAAAGTCCAAAATGCTCTCAAGTCTTGACATTTCTTGAGGGTGTGATGGCTTTTGAGAATTCAAGTTTTTGGGTTGGGGTTACTAAATTAATAAAGTCTATACAAATATTCTTAATCTGAAATACTTCCATCCCTAAGCATTTCAAGTTAAAGCATATTCAACCTATACAAGATTTTTGAAAACATTTTTATCTAACCATTCCCTGATGGCAAAATCTTTATAGCAAAACCTTGATTGCTTATTTTTTTAAGTCACAGATATAAAACTGTTGGTGTGTTAATGTTATGAAACATTATATTCCTCTTAAGCTTCAGTCTTTTAAACATGTAGAAGTCTGTAAAATTTGTTCATAAACTTGAGATCTCTTAAAATCTTTTGAAATATGTAGGACAAAGATAATATACCAAAGAGTATCCTAATGTTGCTACATTTTTAAAAATATGCTTACCTGTGGTGATGGGTGGATGGGTTTGTTGATTGACTGGTGGGTGGGTGGGTCAGTGGGTAGGTTTTTCTGACAAGAAAATCATCTAAATTCTGTATCCATTAATGGAACACAAACTTACTGAGCCCTGGCAGTGAGCACTAGGGAGCTAGCAGTGAAGTTCCTGCCCTTGCACCTACATTCCCGTGGGCAGACCGGAACAGTGTGTAAGTGTATAGTCTGTTGAACGGTGACAGAGATGCCACAGAAAATAAGCAGGTAATGGTTTATGTTTGACTGTCAAGGAGCACCTTTGGGAAGGGACTTTTGGAAAGGACGGGAGGAAAGTGAGTAACCGAATCGTGCACAGTAGAGAGGGACAAGCAGTGGCAGCAGGAAGAGCTTACCTGCAGAGAGGACTAGAAGGAAGCCAGAACCTGTGGAAGATGCGTGGAAGAACCAGAGATGAGAGGAGGCCAGGCTCAGTCCATGGACAGACTTCACATTACACTTAGAAGTGTGGTAGTAAGTCATGGGCTTAAAACAAGACTGTCTTTTGTTACGATGGGGAATGGCCATCCTCAGAAAAGTGGCAAAGATAAACCTATGAAAACAAAATTCCTCAGAGGGGAAAGAATTAAAGGATACTTAATTATTTTCATTAATACCTGTACTACTTTTCCAAAGCTAATTCTTGGAATACCTTTTAGCATGGCTGTAAGACTGAATTTCACCATTTTCAATGTCTTTCAATAGGATGGAGACAGTGTTATGGTCCTTCCAACTATCCCTGAAGAAGAAGCTAAAAAACTTTTCCCTAAAGGAGTCTTCACCAAAGAACTCCCATCTGGCAAGAAATACCTCCGCTACACTCCCCAGCCTTAGATCTGAGAAGCTGAGGCTGTAGCTCCTCCCTCAGTGAGCCAAAGGGTGCCCGCTGCCAGTCACGTGTGCCTGCAGCAGTTGCATAAGAATGTCCCGGTGTGATAACAGCCAAGGTCTTTAGGTTGCTGTACTACTGGCTTATTAAACGGAAGTAGCACTAAAATTTTCATGGGATTCTTTGCTATGTGCCTTCACCAGCACTCTGTCCTGTTCACACATCCCAGCACTCTGCTGCTGGCTGGCTCTTCTTGGAATTTATTCTGTATTTGTGACTCAGCTCTCGTTGGGTCCCTGCAGGGTTTATGATCAACAAGGTAGTATTTGTTGGTGGTTGAGGAAGTTTACCTTTCTCCATCGCAGAATGACTATCAGTTTTTGTAGCTGTCTTAATCAAATCCTCTTTTCTGTTCCCATTTTGGAGAATAACAGAACTGGAAATTCACCTTCCTCTGTAAATATCTAAGTATGTGGCCCAGCAACTCAGATACTCCTTAACAATCAGTCTTAGTCACAGCTGGAAAGGAGAACTTCTCAATCCTGTACCTTTCTAGTAGGTAACTAAAGTGGTGGTGGGGGGGGGGAGTATATTTTGCTATAAAAAAATTTTTTGTGATAAATTTCTGTGAAAGGGGGAAAGGCTTCCTTTCCTGCCAGGGAGCTGCACCTGAGGGCCTGAGTGTAGGTGCCCTGTGCCTTTCACCAAGTATTGCCATGTCAGCCTGCTCTGAAGATGCGTACATGGGAGGCCAGACCTCATGAAGAGAAGAGGAGGACTGAGACTGTGTTACAGTTCTATTCTTGCAATGGGTTGCTATTTTCTGGATTTTGCTTTTAGGGGATCAGTAAATAAAATCCTTTGTTGAAACTGGATCAAAGAATTCTTTTATTATATTTTAAAATACTAATTTAAACTTGTGTCCTAAGGGACAGTGGCTTCCTTCTTGCTAGCATTGGCATAAGCAGTTTCTCCAAAGATAGATAGATACAATGAGAATGGAGGAGAAGCTAAAGAACGTAATGATTTCCACACGTCTCGGCCCACTCCCCACTTTGCCCCTTCGTGTTATTTGCTTGGCTCGTAGAACCCTATGGGGTTGTGGTTTCTGCTACAAAAATCAAAACCAAGCTTAATGCCTTCATGAGGTAGCTGGACTTAAAAGATACAGATTTTGGGGATAATGATACATCTGTACTTGCTCTGAACTCGGTCCCCCAGACTGGTGTTATACCATGTTAATAAGTCTTAGGTTAACAAAGAGGTATCCCACTTCTGAGTCTGTAGGTTCTTCCAACGCAGAACCACAGACCAGGTGGTTTAAACAGTAATCATTTCTCACTGTCCACAAGCTGAGAAGTCTAAGATGAAAGCAGTGGCAGATCCCTTGTCTGGTGAGGGCCTGCTCCCAAGCTTGTAGATAGCTGTATTCTTATGTTCTTACATGACAGTATTTTTATTGAATAGGATAATGTAAAGCATGAACATTTGTTATGTGCATAACAAGTCATTAATCTTTCATTTCCTTGATTTCTGTAGGTGTAAAGTTTGGGCGATGCTAAGAACATTGATAAGGGAGGTAAAAGTCTCAGGTTACATAATGTTGGAAGTGCTGGTCTGAAAGGTTGAGAAGGACTGGCCACCTAGTGTCATGATTTCCCAACTCAGTATGTTTCATTCCTCAGGAACTTAGCATTTGTTCCCTGGTGTCTTCTGACTATTCCCTCACTGCTATCTCCTGTCAGTTCCCTGGCAGTTAGGTTGCTCTCTGCTCTCTTCCCTTTTGTCCTGTAGTCCTGGTTCTCAAGAAGAGTAATTTCAGTTTTCTTTCATTGACAATGCAAACCTTCAGTCTCCAGTGTTCATTACTTGTGTCTTATTCACTGATGGAACATTTCCCATTGAGTTAGCAAATTCAAAGTCAGCTTCTCACCTTTTTTCCCCTGCCTTGTAAACTTACTGCCTCACACCATGCACTGAAGCTCGCAAGTGATGGTGTTTTGTTTGGCTCTATTCTACACACATGATGCTGTCACTGTGAAAATGTTAAAGAACTCAAGGAAAATGGATCATGTATCCTCAAATTCAATTCTAATGCTATTATTAAATAGCATTGATACCGTAAGACTGCAAGTATCCCTTTCCAAATAAAGTATTCCATAGTGAGATTTTTTTTTAAGATAGAAGTAACCCTGAGTACATTCTTATATACATCATTGGGCAGAGAGTTCCCTTGAGAACTGTTGCCTTCACTTTTCATAGAATAAATGTCACTCATACAACCAAAGATTTTACTCATTGAATTGACATATAACTATCATGGCAGTCAGAAGTTCAGCAAGAATGTCCTTGTCTAAAAGACCAAGTCACAATGCCAATTCCTGCATGGAGTGAATTGTCACAGTGGTTTATCTACTCCAACATCCATTGACCCTGCTGCTCTGAAGCTATGCAAACAGGAAGTACAACTTTGGTTCTAGGTTAAAGGGCGTATTAGCTGGTTCACAGGTCATTGCCACCCTCTTGTCACTGACTGGTTCAGAAGTGAGCATGTGATTCACTTCAGGCCCGTGAGACAAATACACGATTTTTAGAAATATCTAGAATTCTTTTCTGGGGAATAATTTAAGGCTTTTCCTTTTTGCTTTTGTCTCCTACTGGATTTGAGCAAGAAAATGAAGCGTTAATTGCGTTAGTGGCCATCTGAATCTTGAAGTACGGGAACCAACCCCAGAATGGGGTTGAAAAGGTGAATAGCAGAGTGAAGAGAAGAAATCTGGTCTTTGGAAATTTGTACTGAGCCTGTCAGCTGCAAAGCTATCCTACCTCTCAAAGGATGTATGATAACTTCCTTAGTCCTTAAGCCTTTTGGAGTTGGATTTTCTGGTGTCTCCAGCGCAAAGCATCCTAACTGACATGCATAGAATAAAGTTTCTTCTAGTTTCAAATAAACAGTAATATGCCTCCTTAGAAAAACTGTACAGCAGACATGTTTTCTACTACATCTATGCTACTTACACTTGTGCACCTCAAGCTTTTGCATGCGCTAAATCACCCAAGGAGTGCATTAAAAGGTGTCCAGGGATGCCCAAGAGCTTGATATCACATGTAGCACCAAGTCTGTTTCTAACAACCCAGGTGCCAGCAATACAGAGCACAGTGAGCACTGCCTTTGCTCACAAATATCCACGTCCCTCTTAGGCCTGATGAAGAACACCCGGCTTGTATTCAAGGTAGCAAGGTGAGATGCCAGCTCATCTCGAGATGAGTCTTAAGGTAGTCAGGACACCTCTGGTCTAGGCAGTGGGTCCATCCCTGACCCAAGAGGCAAAGCCTCTCAAAGGGCAAGGAGGAAGAGGGCAGCTGGAAGGAGCGCACCCTATACTGCTGTCCCAAGCAGCTCCATGAGTACTGTCCGGCTATTTCCAGACATCCTGTTCGAGAATGTAACATCGGAGGAATAATGTAATATGCAGCCACACCCGGTATCTCCTGACGCACGCACACTGAAAAGACACTTAAAGATACTGCCCAGAGAAGGTTCTTTTTTTTTGTTAGTTTATTGGTCCACGTCTGCAGTACCTAATATTTACATTCCTGTGTGGAGCTGGTTCATGTACATAACACATCTTAATTCCTTTTTACATCCCCCTCCCTTCCCTCCCACCCAGCCCTTGATCCCCGTCCCCTTTTGGACGTGTTTGTAGCACATAATATTTGCATTCCTTGTGTGGAGCTGGTACACCCACAAATAACACATCCCAATTCCATTTTTCCAACCTTTATCCCTTGCCTCTTTACCCCTCCCTCCATCTCTAAATCCCCTTCCCCTTTGAGAAAAAATCTCTCTCCCTACTTCCTGTTATCTTTTATTTTGCTATTATATTTACTCTGGGTTGTCATATAAGACACCATGTGATATTTAAGCTTGTGTGTCTGATTTATTTCATTTAACATCCAGGTGCATCTGTTTTCCTACAAATGACTCAACTTTATTTTTATTTATGGCAGAATAGTACTCCATGGTGTGTAAATTCCACACTTTCATTATCCATTAACCTGCTGATGGACATATGGGCCACTTCCAAGATGTAGCTATTAGGAAGTGCACAGCTATGAACATGGGTGTGCATGTGTCTCTGTAATATTATGGCATTAACCCTTTCAGGAAGCTATCTAGAGCCAGGGGGGGGGGGAATAGATGGATCAAATGGAATTTCTAGTTTTTGTTTTGTTTTGTTTTTGAGATAAGGCCTCCTCATGTAGTTCAGGCTGGCTTTGAACTCACTATGTAGCCCAGGCTGCCCTCGAAATCAGGTGATTCTCCTCCCTCAGCCTCCTGAGTCCTGGGATTACAAGTACGTACCACCATGCCCAGCTGGGTCTAGTTTTAGTTTTTTGAGGAATCTCCATACTGATGTACATGTGGTTGTACTAGCTTACACTCTCACCAACAGTGTAGAAGAGTTCCTTTTTACCTTGCAGCCTCACCAGCATTATTTGAGTTCTTAATGGTGGCCATTCTTTCTGGAGTAAGACAGAATCTCAGAGTTGTTTTCATTTGCATCTCTCTAATGTCCAGTGATGTTGAGCATTTCTTCATGTATTTATTGGCTATTTCTACTTCCTCCATGAAGTGTGTACTATTTTGCTTGCCCATTTTTCGGTGGGTCTTTCATTTGGGGGGGTCTAATTTGTTTGAATTCTTTATATATTCTAGGTATGAGTCTTCTGTCTGACAAACACCTGGCAAAATTCGTTTTCCATCTGTAGGTTGTCTCTTCACTCTGTTAGTTGTTTCTCCTGTGGTAGAAAAGCTTTTTAATTTAATATGATCCTGTTTGTTGATTCTCGGAGCTATTTCCAGGGCTACTGGGGTTCTGTTAAAAAAGTCCTTGTCTATGCTATGGCTTCAAGAGTTTACCTGTCTTGTCTTCCTGCAGGTTAAGTGTTTCTGGTTTGAAATTTAGTTTGATCCATTTTGATTTTAATTTAGTACATAGCGAATTTTGGGGGATCGTCTATATAGAGATCATGTGGTCTGCTAGTAATGATAATGTGACTTCTTCCTTTCCCATGCATATCTTTTTTTTCTTGCCTAAGTGCTCTTGCTAATGTTGTGAGTTACTGATTTTAGAGGGAAAGAGTTCAGTTGTTTTTTTCCTCATTTAATATGTTGGCAGTAGGTTTGTTATACATAGTTTTTATCAGATTGAAATAAGGCCCTTCTGTACCTATTTTCTTCAGTGTTTTTATCATGAAAAGATGTGGGATTTTGTCTGAGGCTTTTTCTGCATCTATTGAGATGATCATGTGATTTCCATCCTTGCTTCTATTTATATGATTTATTACATGTATGGATTTGCATATGTTGAACCATTTTTGCATGATCTTTTGGATAATTCATTGCATTCTGTTTACCGATATCTTGGTGAGGATTTTTGCATCTGTAGTCATTAAAGACTGACTTATAGTTCTCTTTTTTGATTGGATCCTTGCCTGGTTTTGGAATCAGGGTAATGGTACCTTCCAGGAATGACTTTGGGAGTACTCGTTCCCTTTTGATTTCATTAAAAAAAGCTTGAATATTGGTGTTAGAGTTTCACTCCAGTTTTTGTAGATTTCAGCAGTGAACACATCAAAACCAGGACTTTTCTTAGTTGGTGGATTATTTATTACTGCTTCAATTTCATTGCCTATTATTGGATTATTTAAGGTTTTTAAAATCTCTTCGTTCATTGTTGGTAATTTATATGTATCTAGGATCTATTTCTTCTTAATTCTCCAATTTATTGGCATAAGGTTTGCAAAGCAATTGTTAATAATGTTTTTATTTCCACGGTGTCCATTGTGATTTCACCTTTTGCGTTTCTAACTTCAGTAACTTGGGGTTTTCTCTGTCTCTTTTTTTTCTTTTGGTTAGATTGGCTAAGTATTTGTCTATGTTGTTTATTCTTTAAAAAACTAACTCTCAGACTAATTTTTGGGTTATTTTATGTTGGGGATCGGGCTATGTGATAGATTCTGGGGGTTCCACTACATGATTTAAGTCCCCCACCATAGCCCAGAGGTCAATGTGACCTTGCTTCAGGAACAGGGAGGTGTAGGGAAGGCCCTGTGCCCCTCGCTATGCGCCGAATGCTAATAACCCCACTCCTGAGGCCAGATAGCAACTGCTGAGGACAGCTGTCAAAATACAGGCATTTGGGATTAGAGGAAATCTGGATCCTCATTAATTTAATCCTTATCCCCCCATCTTCTGTAGTTACTGTTTCATGAAATGTGTGCTACCCTGAGCTTCCTGCTAGCCAAAAACTCGAGCCAACCATGGACATAGCCCAACCGGTCCCCTAGAGGGGTCTCCTCCTGTGTCCTGAAATTTGTCTGTCTTTCTTTATTCCCTATTGTCCCCACTACAGGTTTCCGATCAGCACTAGGGAGTTTTGTTTTGTCTTTTGGTCTCAATTTCATCAATTTCTGCTGTGATCTTTATAATTTTCCTCTTTGTACTTGCTTTGGGTTTGGGCCATTCTTGTTTTTCTAGAACCTTGAAGTGCATCCTTAGGGTTTTTTATTTGGGCTCATCTGTTTTTGCAATGTGTGCGTTCACAGCTATGAACTTCCCTCTTAGAGCTGCTTTCATTGTGTCCCATAAGTCCTTGCATGTCATACTGGCATTGTCATTTAGTTCTAGAAAGTGTCTTAGACCTTCCTTGATTCTTCTGTAACCCATGAAGAGTGTATTCTTTACTTTCCATGCATTTGCGTGACTGAGAAGGTTTCTACATGCTTTGAGAGTTTGTCTACTTCTCTTGTATCTCCTTCTGTTCTAACCCACTACACTGGATTTTCCATAAAGTATCATGTATTTTTTTCAAAGTCTTGTAGGGATGAAAAAAGAACAATATATGCTTAAAAAAAGATTAATATCAGCCATAGCACTCAATTTTATTTGACCTCTAAAATAAATTGAAAAGTGACATCAAAGAATACTATGCAGTGCAAGAATGTTCATTTCTCGTAAGCTTTGCTTTTAGTAACCAAGACTGTAGAACATAGTTCCACTTTTCAGTATTGACTAAACTTTGGAGGGAAGAATAACTATACTCTAAAAAACATCAGGGAGGTGTTAAGTATAGCAATTCCTCAAAAATTATAGATCTTATGCTACAGTAGTACATTAATAAAGCAACACATTTAGTAATTTATTAATTTAGTAATTTACCTGCCCCTTTTGTAGCTTATAAATTTTAGAGCATCTCTTCTGAAGAATTTTGAATGTCTCAACTACACTGCACATATTTAAAATGAGAGTTTATACACCATTCTGTCAATTGTCTATAAAATAAATGCAGCAGTAAACTAGTTTCCACAGTTTCTAAATAACTCTTTGCCAGGTAATCCTTCAGCATTCAAGCCAGGGTGTTAGTTCAGTCTTTAATCTGACTCCACACATCATATTTGTATCATTAATGTGGTTTTCTGAAGTGATGTCCAGTTCTGAACTATAAAAGGAAGTCAAAAGAAAAACATTAAAATATGAGCATTTTAGGAAAAACTTCTTAGCTGTTAAAAAAAACAAAATGTACTGAACAGTTCCTATTTTATAATCAGAAACATTCCTCCTTAAAAGATCTTATATATTAAAGGCTTTAAGTGATACATCATAAGTAATTACATATGTATCTCTGTACTATAAAGAGATACTACATCAATTCAATTAGTCTATCAAAGATGTGTTTAAGGTAGCTGGGCATGGTGGCCCCTGTCTCTAATCTAAGGCAGGAGGATCACTGTGAGTTCAAGACCAGCCTGGGATACCTAGTGAGACCCTGTCTCCCAAAAAAAAAAAGGGTGCTTAAGGAAAAGAGAAGTGCTATGAAAGTTAAAGTCAACTTTGAAAGTCAAAGTCAACTTTGTGGTTGTTGTACAGTAACTGTACAACAGTTTTTTCATGAATTAGACACATGAGAATTTTTTTTAATTATGGGATCTCATAACAAAGGGTACACTTAAGACATTTCTAGGAAAATGGATGCACCTTGAGTCCATACTCTTAAGTGAAACAAATCAGGCATACACATGTAAATACTGCATTGTTCCTCTGGTGGGAGAAACAGAAAGTGTAAATAAGGACTGAAATGTGTAATAGGTATTGTGAAATAGGAAGAAAATATTCAAATGAGGAGGGGAACAAGGGAGAGGTGAGGGGGAAAGGAAAGAAGGAAAAAGTAAAACAAAATGAGAAGGGAAGGAAACATGGAAGCAAAGTTTTATAAATGGGGAGAGGAGGAGGGATTGAAGGGAAGGGAGGGGAGTGGAGAAAAAAGAAATAAGTTATATCATATACAGGTACAAATTCTCTATGATGAATGTGATCATTATGGATATCTAAAATGTACCAATAAAATTTGATTGAAATGAATAAATAAATAAAATCTGATTAAAAATAAAAAATAATAGAATCTCTGGAATTAGAATGTAACTCCATGTTAGGGCTCTTGCCTAGCATGAATGAGGCTCTGTATTTTATCCCCAGTACAGCAAATGATAACAGTGATGATGATGATGGTGACACCAACAAAGCCTGAAAAAGTCAGCAAAAATGAGAAGCTTGGGGCTGGGGATTTAGCTCAGCGGCAAAAGCGCCTGCCTGGAATGCGCAAGGTCGTGAGTTCGGTTCCCGGTACCGGAGAAAAACCAAAAAAAAAAATGAGAAGCTCAATTACTTGACTCTCAATTAAGTTTCTTACTTGTGAAATATGCTCCCCATGCTGTTGTTATTTTGTTATTTTTGTATTATTCTCTTTAAAATTAAAAAGAGAGGAAAGAGAGGATGGCCCTGGGAAAACTACCCCAAAAGGACTAAGTTGCTTTGTTTAAAGGAACTATTGAGACAGCGAGTTCTCCTGGAGCGGCAGAGCTCCTGGGTCCAAGTTTGCACTGGACGCATACCACCATGATTCCCAGCTGAAA